TAAGGTCTAATATTTCAAAATCGATTATTATTAGAATAAATAAAATATTTGGTGCATTTTAATAAATAAAAACTTACATAAAGCATTTGGAATAGGTATTTCCCAGTCAGAACAAGGTGTAGTATGAGTAGAAATCCCTGGGTTGGGTTTATGAATGTCTTTTTTGCATAATTTCTCTAATTCTGCAGGTGAAAATATCTTCCAATTTCCAATATTAGGAATAGTACACACCAAAATATATCTAGCAAACTTTCTTGTAATAGGCCATTGCTACTCAAACCAATTCGAATTACTAGGCAAAGAATTTTTCCCATTACTTGCTGTCATTGTATTTAAATATTGATACATAAACAGTAGATATTTTTGAAAATAGAAATGATTTTATTACTTGTAAAATGTTATATCCTTAAAGAATACTCTAAATCATATAAATACATTATTGTAGATTTTATATTTAGAACTAATCTCTATCTCGATTCAGTTTTAAATTTGTTACAGAAGTATCACAAATATTTTGAATAGCATTTTCTATGTCCTGCCCTTCAGAAATATCAAATCCCAAATATACATAGCGATTGATAGCATGAGATATCTGAATAAATCGGGTTTGTTAGAAAAGTACTAATTTAATGCAAGAGATTATTTTTATTACCTGAGCATGGTGTGAATCAATCATGGTTTTAGCCTCTTCGGCCTCCAAAAATACACATTTTTCTACTTGAATTCCATACCATTCTGGCCAATAGCCCATAATTATTATAAGATCTGCATTGTGGTAATGACTACCATTATCTGACATAATAATTACTGACTTTACTTTGTTTTTTAATATCTCAATTACCGTATGAAGAGATGAAGCAGTAAATCACGAATCCTGTCGCATATCTGTAGACCAGTGATCAAACGCCTGAACTTTTAACTTTGTTAAACTACTATAGATTGTATATACTAATACTGAATAGAGTGTCCACCCATTTTTTCCAAACCAATCTTGCTTTGTTTCTCGAGCTGATTTGGGTAATATTTTCATCTTGTAATCTATGAGAATTAGAGCTTTATTCTCATCTAAATCTAGCAAGTTTGCATTAAATTGTCCATTCAGATGGACTTTGCATGTCTGGTGAGCCATGTAATAACATAGTTGATCTTGCAATTCGGCTAATTTCTCATGCATATCATCTT